ACAAGAGTGTCCCACAAGAGTGTCCTACAAGAGTGTCCCACAAGAGTTTCCTACCAGAGTGACCCACAAGAGTGTGCTACAAGACTGTCCTACAGAGTGTCCCGCAATAGTGTCCTACAAGAGTGTCCTTTGGACATTTTAGTTGTTCGATCGTGTTTGCATTCGGGTTCGTGGGTTCCATTTTTTTTTGTGAGGTCCTGAGTAAGGAAGTCAGCAAGAAAATAGTGAACATAGGTTGGGGTGTTCGTGCAACATGTGGAAAAACAATCAAAAAGTGAATGTGGATACATAGGAAAGCAAAACATTGACAGGAAAATAGTGAGCAAATAGCAAGAAAATAGTGAGACTATAGTGAGCACACTGACTGACATATTGTGAAACGCCTCCCGATGCCGACACGTGACGTTCATATATAAGGTTTGGATTCTGGATTGCTTTTTGATCACATTTTGGTCACCATTTTTTTGCGTTCTTCTTGCTTTTGGTATCCAAATATTTCAATCAAATCACCTTTGGATCGCTTTCTGCTCACCTTTCCGCTCACTGTTTTTTTGACTTGTCCCGTATCCTGCGCTCTGAGATTGCTTTTCGTTTGCTCCAACTCCTACTCCGAAATCACCAAACAAGTTATTTTGGCCACCCTCAGCGGTTGGCTGGACTCCATCTCTTAAAGCTAGTCCAGCTCACCAGAAGCTCGGAGCAGTCCTCTTGGCGCTCCCAGAATCTGGTGATCTCCTGAGACACCTCCATCAGCTTGACAGGCCCAAAGGGGTCACCAGCCAGCGTGGTGGTCCCGCCCCCGAAGTCTATGCCTGTGAAGATCTTAGCTCGGGATTGCCGACGCAAGAGAAGCGAAAAGACAAGTAGGGGGTTGAGGTTTTCGACAGCTTTCCACGGCTCTCTTAGTTTGGTTGTTTATCATTCGTTTGAGCTCCAAGGTTTGAGTTCTTATGTGTAGAAAGAATAAGGTTTGCATATCGTTTTTGTATATGTATATATACGAACGGACTGAAAGATAGAATGCCCGGCAAGGTTGTGCCCAGCAGGGATCGGACATATGGCTCATATTCTGCAATGTCTTGCTCAGCCAACGGTTCTGCCTCAAAAAAATGCAGACGGGATCGGCTGCTATATTGCACAACAAACAATCACTTGTCCAAGCTGAATGGCCAAGTAGTTGTATGCATAGTTCAGGAATCCCTCCACACTGTGCCGCATCTTGGAACACGTGTCTTTCTTCATGAGGCCATTCATGTTTCTCATGTCGGGCGGGACCAGCCCCGTACCAGTGTGTGGAAGCAAGCGGTTCACCTTCAGTAGCAAAACGAAAAAAATGAACATGAACTGAAGGCAATCTGAAAATGAACTGAAGGCAATCGCACTTCACACATCAATCACATGAGTTTACATTTCTTCCATTAGGGCACATTCACACCCAACAGGGAACAGAAGGCACTCTTGCAGACTCGGAAGCCACAAAGACGGTATGTGCTCCAACTCTGTTCCTAGCAGATCACAAAAGAGCAAAAAGATTTGACTCAGGAACTCATGCTGGAACACGAACAGGCCTCCCCCAAATTTGAACTCGAAAGCAAGGACATGAGGTGGATGTTCTTCTCTTGGTTTTCCATGGCATCCATCTTCGCTTTCATGTTCTTCACCCGCTCATTGTCTGCCAGCTTCTGCTCGCAGCCCAGGCTACAGCAACCAAGCCTGAATGAGGTGGCAAGGCCAATTTGGGCCTTTCAAATGAGCCATTCGGACAGCTGAGAAACTTTTCAGGGCTAAATTTCAGCCGCTTCACAGGCATCTCAACCAACGGCTCTGGGGCACTGAAGTCCCGCAGCCCACCATCATCATCTGGCAGCACAAGTGGCATGGCCAGACTTCTCAGCTGGCTGCCACGTTAGCGAAATCAGGAGCCATAAGGGCTGTGTGATCAACAAGCTCACTTGCATCACGAATGCACAACTGTTCACACTCACTCTGTACACCCTGCAACTTTGGTAAAGCAGGTTAGATGATGTGCAAAATTGTTTCGCAACAAGTTCACACCAGATCACACAAAGACTGTAAACACCTAAACAACCCATGATTAAATCATACAGTGTGCCAGCAGGGAGCAACCCCAAATTTACTCTTAATACAAAAAGCACAAATATGTGCAAAAACCAACATCCCCAAATCTAAAAGACAACAACCCCAAATGCCCCAACTTAGATTGTTTGACGCAACCTCCCGTGGCCATCGTTCAACAGGAGGGTTGTGCTTTCATGCCCGTGCCAGCGTATATAGACCACTACCAGAAGAGATGCCTGACAGCGCCCTGGCCTGGGATGGCGAGCGGTATTCACGGGAAGAGTTTTGTGAGTACTATGGCGATGAGGTCCTTTTCTATCAGGCGCAGCAGCTGACGTACTTCTGCAGACAGTATCTTTCCACCTGGTTTGACTACTCGCGGCAGCAAGAAGACCACACGGCTTTGCACCTGGTCTTGCGTCTGCTGAAGCGACAAGAGCTGCGAGACAATCTGGCGCTGGGTGACATACTGCTCCGTTACTGGTATCGTGCGATGGTTCTTCGCGTTGAATATCTGGGAGCTGGACCCGATGGCCATCTATGCACGGACGCCGAGTGCCAAGCAATGGATCGGATGGTGCTGCAGTGGGCTGTCGACTATGACAGCGGTGAGCGTCCCGCAATGAAAGCGCGACAACTGCAGCGTCTCTATTGGCAGAAATGGTTTGGTCACAAAACGCTTGCCCTCACACTGGCCCAGCATGGGGTCCGCCATTGGATGCGAACTCACCTGGCGCTCCACACGGTTGCACAGTTCCACGACTGTGATGCATTCCGAGCTGCGGTTGCGCGCTCGCGTGGGGAGTACACCGACGACACGCACCCATGCCCAAAATGGCGCCCGGTTAGATTGCTTACATCCAAAAATATGGGTCAAGCATTCTAGCGTTTAGGAGCTTCTTGGTGGCAAATGGCAAGAAAAACTGTACGGTTGGAATGCCTCCCGCCAAATATAGTGTCAAGGAGGTTTGTGAAAGGGAAGAGTAGCAGAAAAGGTCAGGGGTAGCAAGGTAATGGGGAAAGGGCAATGGGACAAACAGGGAAGAACATCGCGGAGGGCAACAGGAACAAAGCGGGCAATCCAAGGGATAGAAAAAGCAGGAAAGGAAAGGAACCAAACAGAGTAACAGAGCGGGAAAGCAACGTAAGTCGCACGCGTAGACTTTGCCCGGAAGGAAGCTTTTTCTGGGCAGACAGTGCCAAGAAAATAGCAATGGAACGTGTACAGTTAGAATGCCCCACATCAAACATAGTATCAAGGAGGCTCATGACCAAAGAAGCGAAGCAGAAAAGAGCGTAGCAGGGATTGAAGGAGAAGGCAAGAACAGGGCTCTAAAGACACGGCGAAGGGAACATCAGAAGGGAGCAGGGAGAGAAACGCTCTATGGAAAGGAGCGCCTTTCAATGAGACTACAAGAAAGCATATGTAAATCACTTGTGTAAAAGGAAGGGGAGGGACAAACAGTCAAGTGCTGTTCACTGTTTGTCCCTCCCCTTCCTTGTATGCAAGAGATTTACATATGATTCTTGTAGTCTCATTGAAAGGCGCTCCTTTCCCTTCTCTTCGGGCAATATTGTGTTTCTCTTCCTGCTCCCTTGCCTAGTTCCCGTCGTCATGTCTTTAGAGCCCTGTTCTTGCCTTCTCCGTCAATCCCTGCTATGCCCTTTTCTGTTTCGCTTCTTTGGTCATGGGCCTCCTTGATACTATGTCTGATGTGGGGCATTCTAACTGTACACGTTCCATTGCTATTTTCTTGGCACTGTCTGCCCAGAATGCTTGGCAAGGTCATGCAAGTTCTACGCGTGAGATTTGCACCTGTCCCATTCCAGATTGTGTGTCGCTTTCCCGCCCTGTTTCGTACTTTTCTTTTCTTGTTTCCTTTTCTTCCCTTTGGCTTGCCCTTTTTGTTCCTGTTGCCCTTCGCGATGTTCTTGCTACCCATGGTCTTTTCTGCTACGATCCCTTTCACAAACTTCCTTGACACTATATTTGGCGGGAGACGTTTCAACCGTACAGTTTTTCTTGCCTTTTGCCACCAGAGAGCTCCTAAACGCTATGTACGCGTGTGATTTACATATGCTTTGCTTTTCCTTTCTAACCTTCTAACCCAGCAATGTTTTCCGCCTTCCTGTTCCCTGCTCCCTTCGCCCCATTTTTAGCGCCCTGCTCTTGCCTTCTCCTTCAATCCCTGCTACGCTCTTTTCTGCTTCGCTTCTTTGGTCATGAGCCTCCTTGATACTATGTTTGATGTGGGGCATTCTAACTGGTACACTGGTACGCGTTCCACTGCTATTTTCCTTTGGCGCATTCTAAGTCCATCAAAAAAATACAACGTTTCAAGCATTCTGTGCGGGGCCCAACCTAAATCTCAGGCGTTCTATCTTTCAGTCCGTCGGTGTAATCACGCGTGGGCAAGGCAAAGCATATGTAAATCACATGCGTACATAGCGTTTAGGAGCTTTCTGGTGGGAATGGCCAGAAAAATTGTACGGTTGGAACGCCACGGAGGTTTGCGAAAGGGAAGAGTAGCAGAAAAGGCCAGGGGTAGCAAGGCAATGGAGAAAAGGCAGAGGGACAAACAGGGAAGAACATTGCCAGGGGCAAGGCAGCCGAAAAACGGGCAGGAAAAGGAAAGAGGAAAGGAAAGGAACGAAACAGAGCGGGAATGCAGCAACCCAGTTAGAATGCTGGCAGAATGCCTGCGCCAAATCAGTTAGAATGCCGACCATAGCAACCAAATCTTTGCAGTCATTTCAGGCATGTGATCCCTACTCCATCGGTAATGAAATGATCAAAAATGATGATCAAAAAATTGCAATGCGAGCAAAAGAACAGAAAAGAAAAGAAAAGGGGAGGGAATGGAAGGAAAGGGACACAGCAAGGAAGGAATTGATCGTAATGTTGCCTCTTGATTTGTGTGCGCCCCCCCTCTCCCCTTCCCCCCCGAGTCAAATGCATGAGCCCTGAATGATGATTCAATAGGAACCAGAAGGGCTTATGGTCAAAGATTTTGTAATGTGAGGGAAAAGGATAAGTGTTAGCTCTTAATTACTGTACGCCCCCCACCTCTCCCCCTTCCCCCTAGTCAAACCTATGAGGCTCCTGAATAGTGAATGAATCTTGAAAATAATAAACATATTGTAACACAAAATCAGGAACCCAAAGCGTTTTAAAGGGCAATCAGTAGGAATCAAAAGGATTTAAACAGGGAATCAATAGGAATCGAAATCAATTTTGAAAGGAAATCAGTAGGAATCAAACAAATTCAAGGAAATCAATAGCAATCAACAGGACTTCAAAAGGAATCAAAACGGTTTTGAAAGGAAACCAACAGGAATTAATAGGAATCAAACGAATGTCAAAGGGAAATCGGTAGGAATCAAAAGGATATTGAAAGGACATGAATTAATGAACCAAACGGGTTTTACAAGGAAATCAAAAAATCAAAGGGGATTAAACAGGACAGCGCTAGGAAGCACAAGGAGTTCAAAAGGACATCAATGAGAATCAACAGGAGTTTACAAAAACACCAAGAGGAATCAAACAGATATTTTGAAGGACATCAATAGGAATCAAGAGGACTTTAAAAGGACTCAATAGGAAGCAAGAGGATGTCAAAAGGAAATCAATAGAAATCAAGGGATTTTAAGAAGAACTCTACAGGAACAAAAACAATTCTAGCGGAAAGCAATAGGAATCAGAGGGAGGTTAATGCGAATCAAAAGGATATTAAA